CGCCGATGACGGTGAAGCACTTCCAAAAAAACCCAGATACAAGCGCCGCAAAATAGCAATTTTCTTCGCTTATTGCGGCGTGGGATACCAGGGTATGCAAAAAAATCCTGGCGCCAAAACCATCGAGGGTGACCTCGAGGAGGCCCTTTATCATTCAGGTGCTGTTCCCGAGCAGCAGAGGGGACTTCCTAAAAGGTTTGACTTTGCCCGGTCCGCTCGAACGGATAAAGGCGTCAGCGCCGTTGGCCAAGTGGTTTCGGGAAGGTTCTATGTTGACCCGCCTGGGTTTATCGAGCGTTTGAATTCAAATTTGTCTCCTCAGATTCGGGTCTTTGGGTTCAAACGTGTTACGGGGGCGTTTAATGCTAAGAAGTTCTGTGATAAGCGGAGGTACGTTTATTTGCTTCCAGTCTTTGCGCTTGATCCATCTTGTCATCGAGATAGGGAAAGTGTTTTATCTAGTGTGGGGTCTGAGAATGAGCTAGTTAAATGTTTGGAGTGTTCGGAAAGAGGTCGTAAAGTTTTTGGAGTAATGGGTAAACAAAATTTCCATTCAAAATCTGACTTTGAAGCTGTTTCGGTTGGTTCAAGCATTTCATCGAACACAAGTGCTTTATTGGAATTGGAAATTGAAGAGAAGATCGGTAATAGAACTTCAGAAGATGGAAAGGGAAATGTCGATGATGCTGATGATAACAAGTTAACTACTGAAACTGTGAAAGAATTGGATGATGGGGCAACCCAAAGTGATAAAATTGAGGAAGATAAACTCGACGGTGGAAACGTGAATGGCAATGCAAAACCAGAGAAAAGGAGCGAGTTTTCTTTTGTAAAGCAGGAGAGGGAGAGGTTTAATAGAATTTTGAAGTTATACGAAGGAACACACAATTTTCACAATTTTACTACAAGAACAAAGGCTGAGGATCCCTCTGCAAAGAGATATATTATCTCGTTTAATGCGAACACCACGGTTAATGTAGAGGGTATTGAATTTGTTAAGTGTGAGGTGATTGGGCAAAGCTTCATGCTCCATCAGATTCGGAAAATGATTGGCCTTGCAGTTGCAATTATGAGGAATATTTCTCCTGAATCTTTGATTGAAACAGCTTTTGAACAGTGAGTTTTTTTTGGTTAGCTTTATCTTTTCTTGTAGCATCTTTCTTGATTGAGTTTTTTTGATTTCTTACGTGTTCATTGAAATCAGGAATGTGAACATTAACGTGCCGATGGCACCTGAGGTTGGATTGTATTTGGACGAATGCTTTTTTTCCTCGTATAATCAGAAATGGAAAGACAGTCACGAAGAATTGTCCATGAAGGCTTATGCAGAGGAAGCCGAAGACTTCAAAATGAAGTATATCTACGCTCATATTGCATCGACAGAGCACAAGGATGGAGTTGTAGCCCTCTGGTTGCATTCTCTAAACTATCGCAACTATTCCGATTTACGTGGTTTAAACAATGGTCAAAGTTCCGATGCGAAATGCGATGATGAAATTGTGGACAATGGTCAAAACACTGATGTGAAGCATGATGAAGCTGTGGACATGGCCTAGTGAGCAAACATACAGAGCAATGCATCTATCCACCTTTACGGCATGGTCTCTCGTTTCTTGTGTGCTTGCTATTTGTATTCCTCTTGATGCACTTGAAACTATTTTTTTGAACCTTTATATAATCTCATTTATCTATGATCTAACTATGCATAATTTTAATAAATTCTGGAGATTTTGTCATATCATGGACTATGTTGTAGCGATAATTATCATCTACCATCTTGTTAGATAGAACATAAGTTTATTGCTTGAATATTTCTTCACATTAGTTGTGACCTTAAGAGAGCAATGGGAATTTAACTCTGCAAATGAATATGCAAATATGCTGGTGCATTGCATTGATTATCTGATATTGGCAACAGCCTGCCCCTGTGCAATGCTTTCTTATGGTTTACATTAGTTCAGATTAACACACTTTATCTCCATGGTATTTCTGATGGTTTAATTTTACTAGGAAATAATAGGGAGGGTGTACTATCAGACTGTTCATGAACTGCATTGGCGCTAGGGTTCAAATGTACTTCCAGGAACTGAGTTTCAATGGTTTTAAGAATTTTATAAAAGTTTCTAAGATACTAACTATTAAGCAGAAGTTCAAAATTAAAATTTCAAAATTTGTTTCTCAGTCAAACTAAATTCTGGGAGACTTGCACTAAAGAATATTTTTAGTGTGTATTTTTTATCATTTCAATATTTTGTTCCTCTTTCCTTCTATGATCTTTATAGTCATGATTAAAAAATTATTATTATTTCGTTAATATTTGTTCTCTTTTCCATTTCCTCTCTTTTTCTAGTTTTTTTTTTTCATTTTTTTTTTACGAAAATGGTTAAATTGTAATTAAGAAATTGTTATAAATTTTTTTCTTTTTTTATCCATTTTTTTTAATCTAGAAGATTATTTTGTAATTAAAAATTAAATATATTGATTGGTTATTTATTTTTTAAAAGTTTGACATATTGATAAAAGATATTTCTTTATTTCTCCTAACAAGGAATACTGAAATATTAGATATATGTGTATATTTTATATCTTGATTATTTATGTATCTAATTGAGATGATTTAATTTTTTAAAAATATTTTTTATTTCATGGAGAAGAGGGAAGGAGATGGAGATCGATCATCCATCCATTGTGTGGAAACTTTTCTCGGTTGCACTACAAATCTATAAAGTTCACAAATTTTTCGAGAGTACATCACTTAAAAAAGGAATCTTCACAACATATTCTATACAAAGACGTTACGTAACATCTTTGCAGCGATGTATGTGGTGGCACCTGCTCCCCTGACTGTGCGTAAACCATGCCTGGCTCTATCAAGAATCCATGATAATCGCCCCCCGGGGCACATCCGAGTTGGCAAAGGATGGGCATTACTGGGCTTGCAACCTAAGGGTGGGGAGTTCGATTCCTAGATGGAGCAGTTGAGTGTTGTAATGCTCTATTTGAGTGGAGCAGCTTGGTGATGTAATATCCATGGAGGAAGACTCCCTTGGAGTCAGTAATATANATATCAAAAAAAAAAAAAAAGAATCCATGATAATCGTTTTTCAAAATTGTGTGAACAACCGAACTCAAAATAATGAAAAATCATGCTGCATATACATCATATTTGACATTATTATTTACATTATGTCACCTGACAACACATCATTCGCTAATATGAAAAAAAAAAAAAAATACCCGTTTTCTTGCTCATTTTATTTTTGAAAACACAAAGAATGTCAAACAAGATGTAATCTATGAAATGAACCCTTAACATTATTGGATAATGAAAGGTGCTAAATGCTGTATTCTTGAAATGCTTACACCTGAGGATTTAATAATGTAATCTTGTTATTTTGTTCGTGGAAGTGGTGACTCGGGCCTCTGAGCGACAAATATAATATAATATTATTATAAAATAATTGTTCTGATTATTTTTTATATATCTTATAGGACATGAAATAAAATAAATATTATTTGTAAAAGAAAAATTATAATAAATTTAGAAAACAATGTTTAGTCAAATAAATAAAGGATAATTGCAGGAACGGTCTCAAACCTTTCAATTTTTCGTAAATTATACGTTGACCTTTTATTTTGACAGTTGATGTTCCAAACCTTTCACTTTAAAGGTAATTGGAGTCCGTTGAACATATTACATCTAATACTTCGTTAGTCACCTTTCAAATTACTGTTGCCGCCCATCCACACGACACCAGATGAAGTAATCCAAAAGTTAATTTCAAACTTTGAAACCAAGAAAAATTTAATAATATTGAGACCCTCTTGCATGCTCTGAAAATTTTGTTTAGAATTCCAACAAATTATCCATAAAAAAGTACATGTATCTCAAGGCAGTGGTTCTCTTCAAATCTTTCAGCTTCTTGATACAATCATCATCATTTTCCCAATAACTCTATTCCACCAGCACCACCTGACCCTTTTGGTGACTATAAATTTCTACAATTTGTTCTCTAATATTTGCCTTACAAGGAGAACAAATTGTAGATCAATAATCGATATAAGAATTGGATGAAGCTCGTTTGTCTAATTGGTAGTCTCATTTTGTTAACAGCAGTTGATCTTCTTCATGATTTATGGGGCATTGTTGGCTTTTGCAGATCTACAATTTGATCATACCTGGATTTTTTTTATTGTTGTTTAAGATTTGGGTAAGTGGTGGTGGCGGCGAGCTAGCATCGCGACGGTGGGCAGATGGATGGCAGTGGCAATAGTGACTGAGTTTCCTTCCTTTTTTTTTTTTTATTGTAGGGATGGGGTCTTTGGAGAATATAAACAAAACTTTTGTTTTAAATTGTTTTAATAGTTTTATTATGGAAATTGTAAATACAATTTTACCTCTTATTTAGGTCGTTAATTTGAGTCAAACATTTTATTTCAAGTTTGACCAACAGAGTATTGAATGGAATTTGTTCGATGGACTCCAACAGCAATATTTAAAGTGAAAGGTTTGAGACTGCAGTCCCCAAAATAAAAGGTTAAGGTATAATCTTCAAAAAAATTGAGAAGTTTGGAACCGCTGATGCAATTATCCAACAAATAATGTTTATCCAAATATACTTTTATATTTGTTTAGTCATACGCACCTTTTGTATTAACAACTACAAAGTCAACACGTTTTTAATATTAATTTTTTTGAAAATGTTCTACGAATGAATCCAAACCATGTAAACCGTGCAACGGCCCTGGTAGCTCATAGAATGGGTAGCACTTAGCAGCCAACCAAAGCGGTTGAAGGGGCAATAGAGCAAATACAGGAACACTGATTTTACTGTATTTTAGATGTGCATAAAACTGACGGAAATTCAAGAAAGCAGCAATCGATCACTCTCTTCTCCAACACTAACTTTGCCACAACACTTACTTAAAAGTGAAAAAAGAAAAGCTTTTTCTTGAAAAACTAACAGAACATTACCCTGCATCCAATCTGAATATGTTAGTTAAGCAATACCCCTCATGGAATAGGTTGAAACTGTACAATCAAGAACCGGAGCTCCATGTAATCTTGGGTGATCACTCTCCATCCCATAATCCAAGATGGATGGACGGTACTCCATTTCTTCTTCCTCTTCATACACAAATTCAGGTATCTCAATTTCCTTTCTCCTCACATTTTCCCACAGAAATTCCAACCTGTTTACATACCTCATCTTCCAATACCACCTGAGATTTTTTTTGAAAAATGAGTAACCCGTAAAAACTAGTTTAAAATTATTATGCGTCGTCTTTATAACTACTTAAGCTTACCCTCCGGGTCCTGGGAAGATGAGACGGCCAAAGGTAGCGAGGAAGAGGCGGGACTGGAATCCAGGGTGGACGAAATAAATTGAGTCAAGATTTTCTCTAATTTTGACTGGAACTGCTTCGTAGATTGATCTTAAAGCTAAAATTCCTGGGAAGTTATCGCCTCTGTTCACACCAGTGTTGACATAAACCATCGAAAATGGGTTTTCGTCCAAACTTGGGAAAATCTCATCCTCTAAGTATTTCTTCAGTACGTCCACAGTCAGAAGCCTCGCTGTTATAAAATTACAACTGCAAAGGTTAATTCAAACAAGAAGCAGAGAGAGAGAGAGAGAGAGTGTGTGTGTGTGTGTGGATAATTGATGGATTTATTTACCTGGGAAGTGTTTTCCAATTACGCGAAGGATAGTGTGGCCTCGTTTATCTTTGCCTTGAATTTTGAAGATTTCATGTTTTTTGAAGAGATTTTCTCGTTCAGGTTGAGAAAGAGTGCAAAGTGGAGTATTGGAAGTCATGGCCGAAAGTTTTGAGTAAATTCAATGAATTGGAATTGTATTTAAAGGAAAAATTGCAATATTGCTCCCCAACCTATTGCTTCATTAGCTAGTCAGACTCCAATCTTTGGGAAAGTGAGGAATTTAGGTCTCTAACACTCGATAATGACGAAAAACGTCCAAATTTTATGTGATTTTTGCACATTCAACTTTGTGAGGCTAGATTCTCAATTTAGACTCGTATTTAATTCGTACAATCTACATGATTATACTAAGAGGATTTTGACGCATTTTGTCATTAAAGACTACTTGTTTAACTATAATGAAATTTTGAGAATCTAAACTTAGACTCTGTTTTGTATACAGTCAAATTCTAATATTAATTTTAAGATTTTTTCTACTTGTACAAGGGAAATCTCCCTTTACAAGTTATAGGTGCTCTTGAGCTCACTTTTTGTAGAGTTGACGTGGTCAATAGATCTCAACTCCTTTAACGTTCGCGTAAGCTGTAGTCCTGCAAACTTGGACAAACCATTAAAGCATACAACCAAACTCCGAAGGCCAGAGAAGTGGTCGCAAGCATTCCAATGACCAAGTCTAGGGATGTCAACTAGTCGAGCCAATTTGCGAGCCGAAACTTTGAGGCTCCAGCTCGACTCGAGTAAAAATTGTTCAAGTTTTTTGACCTGAGTCGAGCTTTTGCCTTGTCAAAAATTTAGGTTTGACCTGAGCTTTCAGCTCGGGCCTTATAGAGCCGAGCCGACTCATGAATTTTTCTTTTAAAAAATATCAGCAAAGGCAACGTGCAACTCCTGTGTCAGGCAGCTTCACGCTACCTGTAAATGGTTTTATTTTTTAATTTTTTTATAAAAATATCATGCAACAGCTAGTTGCTGCCTGCGAAAGTAGCATGTAGCTACTTGTATGTTTTTTTTTTAAGGTCCGACTTGTCACGAGCCGCCCGTGTGGCTTGTTGAGCCATATGCCTGGGGGCTCAGCCTGAGCCTCAGCTCGGTTTCGCCAAGTCGCAAGTTGAGTCACGGACAGTCCGAGTCGACGAGTGAAATTGACACCCCTAGCCAAGTCAGTTAGGTAAAGTATATAATTGGATGTGAGTTAGGCCTATGACGAATTTATCAAAGTAAAAAGGGGGTCGGAACTGGGGTTAGAATACAAACCTGCATTATATTTAAAATGGAAATAAGTAGGTCTTTTTACATTAGAAAATGATGAGTAAGAGTTGTTGGATGCAGAAACACGTAGCCTCATCCCAACGGTTGGGGGTTCTTATCATAAACATCAACCAATCATTCGTAGACCATGCTGCATTTAATTTTGTGACGGCTTGACAACCTTAGGCCTAACATGTAAGACTATACTTGACTTGTTTGATTGAATAGAGCAGCATATTCAATGAGTTTTTACATCACCCCCTTGTAATAGGATCTTTCGTACAGATTTTCTTGAAGTGCCTCGTGCGGTCCGTCGAAATTGAAGCGATTCCGTTGCGACACTTGGACCCGATTCCGTCATTAACGAGGCGTAACGAGTGCAGTACTGGTAGCACTGCATTGGCTGCCAAGGGATTTCCCCTATACATATAGCATGGTTCTAATTTTAACCACATCCATAACTACTACTCATTATTATGTTATTATATGCAAAGTTAGAATCCACTAATATTTTTATTACTATTCCTTTTTATAAAGAATAGTATTATTTAGCACCAATGATGCTGAATATCAATCTAGATATCAACATACCATAAGTCCTATTAAATGGGTCATAATTTCTTATATTTAATTGAATCTGTAATTTAATATCAATAATACTGTCAGATCATGTGACGATAATTGATAGGTTCTGTTAACCCCAAAAAATGAACCAACATAATCCCTAACATGTCCTCTCCACATGGATATCACCTGTACATTGAACACCCCATTGGAAGCAAAGACCGTCGATCGAGAAAAATGTCCGACGATCGTTTGCACTCCGACAATCAAGTCAACGGCCGGACGAGATAAAAAGATAGTGCAAGAGAGGGAGAGGGAGAGGGAATTTGGATATGGTTATAAATCATACCTTGAAATGAAATGAATCATATATATATAGGAAGTGTAAATGGGCATATGAGCCTGCTTATGCCCAATAATATCTGATTTGATTAAATAGATACGTTGTAATTAAATAGTCGATGCCACGTAATATATGGGTGTAACGGATTCAATTAAATGTGAAAAAATAAATATCTCATTTAATTATACTATCATTTAATATCATCTAAAATAATAATGTATTGTAAAATAGTTATCGTTTGAATATGTATTCGGCGGTTCGGTTGGGTGGGTGTGGGCTTTATCCATTGAAGAGGAAATGGAGAGAATATTCTTTCGGATCTTCCCTTTTTTTATTTGGATTTGAGTGAAGTAGAGATTAGGGTGTGTTTGATGGATATTATTGAGGAAATAATTTATTTTAAATAGTGATATGATGAAAATATGTGGTTAAAAAGTAAAGAAATGTTACTAATGTGATGAAAAATATTATTTTATTGTAAAATGTGTGTTTGAAAATGAGTTTTGAAATAATGCAATTTAAAAGATTGTGTGTCAAAGAGGTTCTTAGACTGACTTAACTGGCTGTAACTGTCACGTTTGTGATGTGGGACCCTTTTGGTCTTACTTGGCAGGCTAAGATTGGCCCTTCATCGTTGAGGATTTATCTTATTTTGTACGATATTTTAATTATACATCGCTCCATTATTCCAAAAAATCATTCATCTCCCTTTTTTTAACCACACAACATTCTGTAAAGCCGTAGTTTGGTCCTATTATAATGAGATTTTTGGAAATAATGTATTTTGAAATAGGATAATGCTTCTTGTACAAAATGGTGTACAAAGGGGTGTCCAAAATGGCCACTTCACCGTCCCCTATTGGAAGGGCGGCTGTGGGGCCAGATGAGCCCCAGCCGCCCCTCCAATAGGGGGGGGCCAAGTGGCCATTTTGGACACCCCTTTGTACACTATTTTGTACGTGTAGCACAACCCTTTGAAATAATAGTTTTTGGGAGAATGTGTGTTTAAAAGAGAAGGTAAATTTTTTAGTTACGTATAATATTATTTTATTGAAAAATATGTAATTGAAAAGAAGATAGAAAAATATATTAAAATTTTAATGTGGTCAAACAATGGCAAATAATATTACATGTAAATCGAAATATTTTTCTTATTTTTCAATCACACATTCACTAAAAAAAAACACTGTTTCAAAAATTATTATTCCCACGTAATGGGGGCCAAACGTGCTTCGCCTTTTACTAATGGCAGTAATAATGTCTCAAACTTTTTGGGTGGAATATTTATCATGAATTTCTCATCAAATTACACGTGTTATCTTTTATAATGGTTTTTGTTCAAAATATGCATTAGGAGCGCACAAAAAAATATTATTTGTCTTTCGTATTTTTAAATGAGTAAAAAATTAAAAGCATGACATAATATTTTTCTTTAACTTTAAATCACACATAAAATATTTAGATAATAACAATCATTAAAGATCTCTCATGGTTGATCCAGATCAAAATCTGATTTTAATCAAAGTTAAAGTCAAACAATCAATATTAACCACATCTTTCATGAGTTCCACAACTTTTCAATAATATATTTCAAAAACTTCTATCACAATCTATTGAAAATTTAATTTTAATCTCCGTCAAACACCCTACTATTTTATTTATTGAAGGTAGGGGATAAGGATTCAACCAAAAGAAAAATATCATTTGTTCAATTCAACTCCAATTTACCCTACCACTTATTTCTTTGGTCGGTCACTTGGTGAAATCACGTTGACAAAAAGAACCAATATTACTTTGTAAAGTGGTAGTTCTTTTTCTCAACAAGGCATCGTTGGGTTGGCTAAATTTCACCTTTCCTTCCTTTTTACTTGAAAGTTGAAAGAGACGCAAAACTTATCTTTTGGCTAATCCAAAATTTTAGAATATACGCGACATTGAAATGTTTGACCAAAAAAAATTCGATTTTTAATTTTTGAGATCTCTTATTGATTTTTGATATCCAACATTTAGAAGTTACGAAGTCGTACAGAACAAATACTCCAATTCGAGAGGGGCTTGGAGTAACTATTTGATCATTATAAAAAAAACAGTAGAGTTTGTTTGATTGACTTTATTTTTTATATCATTTTTCTACTAAAGTTCCATGAAAAATATTTTCCAGCAGTTAGTCACATGAGATTCAAATGCTTTTCTCATATAAACCCTAAGGGTGCGTTTGATTGCAATTGTGGAAAATAGGTGGAAAGAAAATGTTTTACAGGAAAAAGATTTGCCTAAAAAATGTTTTGCAGGGGAAATGATTTCAATTGTGTTTGATTGGTATAATTTT